AACGACAATTCGAAATTCTTCTGAAAAGACTGGCATTTCATGCAGTTTCTGATGGTAAGCAAGTATTCCTTTTAATCAAGTATCTCAAGTTCAACATGAACATAATAATAGGAATCTGATGTTTTGCACATCGTAAGTAGATACTCCCTCTGGCAGTCGAAGTACCTATGGGCAGTGCAAAGACCATGATCCCCACTAGATGATACAGTGTTCTGATTCTGTAACTTATTGCAAGCCCTGGAATTGTACAGGCTATGGTGCAATGTGGCATACATCTTGATGCCACAATAGTCCTCAACAGAAATCCAAAAAGAATGCCTGTGGCTGCACCAACACATGCTCAAACGCTTTTTTGCAAGCTTGAAACTGCGTAATGACTGGTACAACCTGCTTAGAAGTCCAATCTTAAGTTGACCATCCATTGATTTTTAAGTTTAGATGGTAGTTTTTTTTATAACGGTTAAAAATCAGTTGGCAGTAAACATAAAGTAGTACTTTAACCAGCCTGTGGCAGATTTCACCTAGATGAAAGAGACTTGAAATTTGTGATCATACCTGGTGCATGGTGCACACACTGTAGTGCATTTTCCAGATTACCATGGTGATCTTGAGCGTGATGCGCAGATCTATGGCACATCGCATCATAGCCTGGTGATTTACCAATTTTGTCAAACGTTCAGCCTCAAATGATTATGAATATTGTGTGGAAAATGCCCATCTGCGAATTTTGGGTTCAATTATAGATTATCTGGAGTGAATTTCCTGAACCCTCACTCCCTAACTCTATCACCTCTACTGCTACGCTCATGCCCTACCCCTTCTCCAATCAATGAATCTCTCATCAAGTACCTGAAAATGCTCAGTAGCGCAAATCGACGGTGTAAGTCCGCAATCACATATCTTGTTTGCGGTGTCTGAAAATCTCCGGTTCTATGATATTTTTTGAAAGGAGAACAAATGGACATCATTCCTTGAGGTTTGTGCTGAATTTTCTTCCCACTGAGAAGAAAAATCACGGCAGTTTTAAAGAATTGCCTTTGACTAGTGTTCTTTTTAAAAAATAAAGTATGACAGGAAGTCTGCGATGTCGCAAACTGAGTTATGTGATTGCCGACTTACACTGTCGAAATGCTTCGAGTGTGATCGAGTAAATGTAAGTTTGCATGAATCCAATTGTAGTGGATACAATGAGATTTTCCATACAATAAATTACATGGTTTAAATATTGACTAAGTCACAGATAAGATCATAAAAAGCTGAAGGGATTGCTCCTAGAAGCTGAGGTTGGGCTCTCAATTTTCACTATGCTTATCAGTGGTACTTATTAGTCAATTGTAAAAGATTAGGTTTCAATTATTTTAAGTAGGAAATCTCTGTGACGGGATTTTCATTTAGGAAAATGAATTGAATATTAAAAATAGAAACGCAAGAAAAAATTCAAATACAGAAATTTACCTATCATACTTAACAACAAATTCATTCTTTATTTAGCATGACTTAAAAATCCAGCAGTCACTTATTTTTGCCTCATGTACGCCCTCTACCTGTAGTTCTTAATGTTATGGATGTTATTTTTTTTGGTCACTCACTTCATTCTGTATCCAACATACCAAGGTGTAAACATTTCAAACGATGGAAGCTATTTTGCTATTTCTTAAAATTATTTGTTCAATGAGGAAATAATCACTAATGCCTGTTTTTTCATTCTTTTTTTCTAGAACTTCTTTACGAAGTGCTTGGTTTGCTGGGATCCTCATGGAAAAATGAAAGCTACTAGCACTCTGTGATTCAACTGATTTTTCCGCATTAGATCAGTTAGTAACAGAGATTTAGCAGCAAAATCACATCAAGTTCTTGAAAATCTACCTTAAAATTTATCGAAAGATTGACAGAAAAACAATGCACTGCATCGTAAAAGTGCAATCTCCTGGAAGGCATTTGTTTCAAAGAAATTTAGCGTGTAGGATTTTTTTTTATTATTATTACTTTCTTCCAAAAGTACAAAGACCAGTAATAACTTTGAATGGGCTTATTTACTTTCCTATGAATTGAAAGGGAGGAAATTGGAAGTGTTGGGAATCCTGTGAAGTGCGATTCTGAAAGTGTTTTTAAAATGTAGGACGATTGGAATTGAAATATCTTACCTCTTCAGGAGAACTAGACACAGTGAATGGTGAGTTGCTGCTAACTGTTTTTTTCTTGCATGAAGTTTTTAGAAGAAATAGACCAGGCTGCTGAGTAGAAACTCCAAGGAATGGAAAATGTCATTCAGAATTTTATGATGACTTTGAAAGAATCTAACTTTATCAAAAATCAGCAATTTAATTTGCGGGGGAATGAAACTCTAAATTTTTTGATGCGGGGTTGTGAAACAATTTTATTTCATTCCTGCGGGGGATTGCAAAAATTTGGTTTCATTGCCCCGCACTAATGTTTTAGTTGCATTTCCCTGCGCAACAGCAACAGGCTGAGTTTCACGGGGCAATAATCTGCGGGGCATTGCTGTGATACCAAATTCTTCTCTTTAACGTACTCTGTTTGAAAAAGTAATTTGATTTATTTTTGTTTACTTTATCATAATATTTAAAAATCGCTTGTAATATTCATCTTTATCATGTATATAATCCTCTAAATTGATTAATCATTTTCAAGTGATCTTAAACTTTCAACTCGGATTTTCTCCTTATTTTGTCAATTTTTCAAGGTTTCTACATTTTGCTTGGAGCATGTAATAGTGTGTATTTTGTTGTATAAGTTATATTCTTGGATAAAATGAAGAGAACTAATCAGAAAAGAATCACGGCACAATACAAAATTGAAAAAGAATATTTTAAGCGTAATGCAAGGCAAAGTACATTGAAAAAAATACGATTCCCTTTGATTACAGAGGAATGAAATTTCAAGCCTCCTTTTCTCGGCTCATTCATGTTGTGGTTTGGCTCTTTTCTGAATAATTCTTTCCAAAAAGGTTTTTTGGTGTCAAGTCGAAGTAAATAAGATTGGATTTAAGTAAAAAATACCTTTGAATTTATTAAACAACGATTCAGTCAATTTTGACGGGCAACCAAGTCATAAAATTAAGTAAAATATAACAACATTTACATAACAGTGCTTCAAGTATGTACATATAAACAAAGTATTCACAGCAAATGCGCAACTAAAAAGGCAGCGAAATTTAACAAAATTAGATCATCATGAATAGTCATTACTCACGTAAGTCACAGAAATTATCTTTTAGAAGAATACAATAAAATTCCGATGTTAATTTAAAAATACGAATCGAACTGCAAAGAGAACAGTAGGAAAAAGGATAAAATACATTGAATGTAGTAGAGAGTCATGGCTTTACAATAATTGATACTAAAATGAGTGTTTTAGATTATTTCTAACTTGAGTTGTGAGACTTTTTCTAGGAGTGTGCATTTTGAAATGTTTACATTTTAAATTTTTTTGCCCGGCTGATTGCAAAAGTTTTACTGTAATTTTGTCTTAAAGATGTATAAAGTTTACAAGTGGTGTTCGAAGAAACTTCTAGCAAAAGCAGTTAAAATTATAATTGAACCATCAAGTAGGACAAGATACGAAGCAAACACTAATTTAACACCGGTAGAGAGATTTTTTATGAATACATATATACTTTGATCGACCCAAATTCTGAAACTACTTTAACATGAAAAAAAAAATTATATTGCCGAATAGTTTTTCAAAATTTTGGACAGCGGTGTGAAGTTCTGAGTCGAAAATAGTACAAAAAAACCTACGAAAAAGCCAAAGCCAGAAATGTTTACAATTCTCGTAAAAAATACGAAATGCAGTCGAGGAAAACATTGAAAGAAGGACATTTCTCCTCAACGATTTCAGCCTCAATTAGTATTTTTTAAACAAAGTCTGATTCCATCAAAATTCATATTTAGCCTTTGCCTAAAACTAAATCACAGGTACGAGGAGTATGCGTCAAAATCCTTAAATTAATAGCTCGGATGTATAATAACATCTATCTTATTCTATGGCGTGAAATTTTCGAGAGGGCGAGGTGTAACGAGATTTCTTTTGAAAGGCAAATATTCCTAACAAATAACATCAGAGATCATACTTTGAGGATAAACAAAATTACATGCACTTAATTAGATTACATCGTAGAACCATGCACTTATAGGCATTTTTGATTCTCAGCGTTCATAAATTCACAAACACTTTTAAATGGAGCTCACAACTCGCACGAAAGTTTCACGCCAAATTTACGGGAATCAATTGGACTGCATTTTGCAATTTGGACCTACAAATTCTGGCTCCTCTGAAAAAACACTTATGTGCATAGGGAAACTAATGGCACATACGTTTTTTTTTTAAACCGGGCCGGAATTTATGGTTCCAAATTGCAAAATGCAATTGGCAGCCGGCGCTTTCTTGACGCCGCCAATCGAGAATATTTGGACAGTTTCGACCAAATGGACGTATTTCTACCAAAGAGACCTATGTGGAGGTGAGAAATATGGGGTGTGTTCCTTAGTTCTCTTTGCGTAAGAGTAAATGAGAATATTAAAGCGCCAGTGACGTGAGCGACAATGAAAAAGCCGGGTGGTGGACGACGCCCGTCCTCGGGGCGCTTTAACTCATGAGCCCTGTCCACAAGGCTCTCTTCCCATCCCCGCGGCTCATGAGTTTCGCATTCAGTTCCCACATAGGTCTCCTTGGTAGAATGTAAAAACCCGCTTTTCCAATTCTTCAAAAGGAACCACGCCCATTTTTACATTGCTTCTTATGCACCTTCCAAGAGCACACCCCACATTTCTCACCTCCACATAGGTCTCTTTGGTAGAAATACGTCCAATTCCGAGTATCACTGAACATTTGGACTGCATTTTGCAATTCGGAACTACAATTTCTGGCTCATCAGAAAAAACACTTAAGGGCATAGGGAAACTAATGGTACATATGTTGTTTTTAAACAGGGCCATAATTTGTATCTCCAAATTTCAAAATGTAGTCCATTTCACAACACAGCGCAGTAAAAAACCTAAAGCTAATTTTTACATATATTACAGACCTTAAAATCACGTGGAGGCAAGCATCCTCTGTCCTTCTTCCCTCGAGGCTGGGAACATGGGTTGATTCTGGAGGATGTACATCATCTGTTGCTGTCGGACAGCAAGTTCCAGGGGGCTTCCAGGGTAAGGCGGGGAGGCCCGCTGTCTGTCATAGGCTGGCACAGGCGTAGGAGTAGGCGCTGCCTTCTGAATTGAGGAGATCGTCGGGGACCCTGCGACGAAGTAGGCGGGGGTGTAGTACTCCGGTAACCTGGGCGCGAAGTACGGCGCATAGGGTTGAGGAAAAACACCAGCGGGGAACCCAATCGCCCTTCGGAACCCTGATAGGCGGGTCCGCGAGGCGGCGGTGTTGCGTCGGCGGAGCTTCCCGGTGGTTCCGCCTATGAATACGTCGGCCGCCGAAGCGTCCAACATCCAGTAGTTGCCTTTGCCGGGGTCGTCGAAGTTCCTCGCCACCTTGACGAAGCACTTGTTGAGCGACAGGTTGTGCCGGATGGAGTTCTGCCAGCCCTGCTTGTTGTCGCGGTAGTACGGGAAGTTCTTCATAATGTACTCGTAGATCCCGTTGAGGGTCAGCCGTTTCTCGGGGGAGTCGCGGATGGCCATCATGATGAGGGAGTTGTAGCTGAAGGACGGCTTGGCGGCCTTCTTGTCGTCTTCTTTGGGTTTCGTGCAGTCGAGCGGGGCTGGCGGTGGGGTGGCCGGCTCGGAGTCTGAAGGCGCTTCAGTGTCGCTGAAGGAGGTGACGATTGCCGGGCTCGAAGGATCGGAGCTTGAGGTTGAGTCTTCAAGGATCGCGCTGATGCTGAAGGAGGACTTCAGGGTCGGGCGAGCGACTACCGTGCAAGGCTCGGATTTTTCGGATTTGTCCAAATGCATCTTGAAAGTTTGGATTTCCAAAATCAGGATAGGAAAGTCAAAATTAGCGCATTTAGAAGACTTGCGCACACGAAAAATATGTCCGTAAAATGAGTTATAAACACAATTTCAACCGACGAGATATCTAGTGTGATTATTCTAGTTGCACACAGATCGGAAGCAAAGTTTTTTAATAAAAACATATAAATGAACGGAGAATAAAGAATGTTCGCAATAAATTAGGAAACAACGAAAATTGTCCACAAAAACAAGGAGGAAACAGAATGTAGAGCGATAAAATGTTTTTGACACGAATCGAAGCAATAAGTGTGAGAAACCACAGCGATACTGTTCTTATCGCACGAAACAGCGCACAAAACGGCGAGAATAAGTAGCTGGAACTGTTGAAAATACGAGTAAATTCAGGCTGGAATCACTACGCGTTGAAAACGAAACACGGCGAAAATAGCTTGTTTCAGGAAAGACACGAAATTCAGGGTTGAAAATGTAAACGTGATGGAAACACGGTGAGAATGACGACGGATTGCGAGAGAGCGACACCTGTGAGCGTGGTCTCAGCGTGGCTCGAACTGGAGGACTGACTGTCGAGGTTGAGGAGCGGAACCGGTACGGCGGGACGGTGGCGAAGATGGTGCTAGACCGGGAGTCGCGCCTGACGGTGGCGACCAATGACAGGGGCCCCTGGCGGGTCCGCCCCCACCGAACGCACCTGTCCCAAGAGGCCCCCGCTCCCGGGATACCTGTCGGCCCCGCCCGCTCGAACCGGTTCCAGCCCGGGAGTAGCCTGGACCCGGGGTGTGGAAAACGGAGAACGGTGGCCGGCTGGAGGTAGACCAAGGTACAGCGATTTCATTACTTTAAAGGGTTGCTTTTCGGATTTTTACATGTTTCTAGATAAAAGATCCTTGGTACTTAAAATCCCATGTCGCAATCGCGTCTACTGCACTGGAAATTAAAGTCGCTTGAATCTAGAGTCCAGACTCTCAATAACATTGACAAGAAAAAATACCCTTGATTCAATCCGATTTTTCCTGAATCGAAGAGCCGAGCCTCTTAATTTAGGTGAAATTCCTTTTGATTGAAGCAAAAAGTCCGATTGAATCAAGAGTATTTTCTCTTGACAATGTTTTTAAGAGTCTGGACTCAAGATCCGAGCGATTTTTTTCCAGTGAAACAAAAGTTACGGGCTATATAGATATACCGTGCGTTCCGGGCTCGGAGGCCGAAAGTTCCGGGTGCTGGAGCCGTGACTTCGATTGCTTCGGATGCTTAGCCCGAAACTTTCGGTCTCTGAGCCTGAAACGTGGACGGTATTTCTAAATACCCTTCAAGTCGACGGCCGAAGTTTTTTTTTTCAGTGTGCTTTGTAAAGACTTGAATGTTAACTTGATTGGCGATCATCGTTAGAATTTTTAATCTTAATAACGGTTCCTCTCGTTTTTCTGTGATTTTTCAGAGATCCCTGATCGCGCATAAAATTTCTTTTAACCGCCGCCCCGCCCGAAAATGAAGTTTTTTGATTTCAGCTGAGATATGCTTGAAATTCCCGTCACAAAGGTTTAACAACGGAGATTATAATTGCTCACGTGCATACACATACGTTTTATCGATATTAACATTACATTACATTTAAATCCATTTTCACGTAATAAAATGTTAAAATGTTCTGCGTAGCACCAATAAAACACACGAATAAGGTAATTAAAATGCGTGGACTTATTTCTTTTGATTAAACTGTCGAAACGAATTTTTCGTTGACAACGTTTTTGGTATTATCAAAGAAGGAAACTCGTTAGTTAGCCCTTTCTCCCACTACTGCGGCTCTTTTATTTCTCCTTCGCTGTGTTTCTACACATTCTCAAGTTTCGTACCAACATCTGACTCGAAGGACTGACACCTCAAGACTCAATAGCAACGGAAGACGGCCGAGCGGAGAAATGCCTTCAAATGATAGGGTAGGCAAGATTAATCACTTCAGAGTTCGAATAGTTATCTACTCAGATTTTCCCTTCGACCTCGTATGCCTCGCTAAGGGAGAGCGCCGCGCCGCGCGCCGTGTGAGCAATCGTATATTGCCAAATTGCCTCTGAAAACTGCATCGCGATGTAAGTTTTCACAGTTCTGCGGGCTGATTACTAAGATTGATGGTAAAACTACAGACAAGTAGAAAAAGGAGCGATCTATTAGTGGAAGCGGACTGCCGCAATGGACAGAAGGGTAGGTAGTAGCAACGGCGACCCGGGCACAGACCTCATAGTTGTATCATAATTATCTCCCTTTATTTTTAAGTAGCACCCGTTTCGACCAATAGGATCGCTCCATTTTCCTTTCGTCTTCTTTTTGTACCAATTTTAATGACCAGTCCGCGGAGTGCAAGTATTGTCAAATTTTACCGGAGAAAATTGGCTCAAACATTTTTAAAACGACGTATTTCTATCAAACGGAACTATGTGCATTAAGACATGAGCCCTGAGACCCATAAGAATACGTGCTTAACAGGGCTCACGTCGTAATGCACATAGATTTCCGTTTTATAGAATTACGTCCAAATTAAAATAACATTCTCTTTGATTGAAAGAGGATTATTTTAAGGTAAATGATGTGTGTTATTTCAGATAAATGCCATGAGCAAGAGTTTCTTTTTACATTAATAAAAAATAAAAAAAATCATCGTTTGCCTAAGCAACATTTTTGAACCAACGAACAAACATTAATTTACATTTTCTTCTAAAATAAAATTAAACTTTCCTATTGTTTTCATGGCAATTTTCCCCACCGATTTTTAACTGCAGGACCTCTCGATCAAATTACTTACTTTATAACCGTTGAGAGGACTTACTGAAAAAATCGGTAAGAAAACATTGTATGCCTGACCTATAAAAATGAGTGTCGATGCAGTGAAACGAAACTACTCAAGAGAATTTTGTTTCAATTTCAACCAATATTCAAAAATTTTGGCAGTGACTTTTGATAATTGGCAACAATGTACTTGAATCGGATCCGATTCGGATCACAAGGGTAGGGGGTGTGGAGGGTGAGTCCGCGGGTCCGGTTGCAATTACCTCTCTCGTGTAGCAGAGGTGGGCGCCTGAGGGCGGGGGTGCCCGGGAGGAAAAAAAAAACCTTATCAGAAAATATTGAGATGTTTTAGGAGCAATGAAATCCGATTCCGCGAGGTAATTGAATCATAAAACACGGCCGCGATTATTTATTGGGGCTCCAGTGGCCTCCCCATGCGGGCGCGCTCTCTCGCCCTTTCGTCCTCGCAAAGGGCGAGGGTCAGCCTCGTTTCGACAGAGCGCCCTTCCTTCGCCTTTTGAACTTTAATTGTAGAACCGCGGACGGAAGGCAGGACTACACTGAAATTCAAAATGTATCTTATCGGAAATGTTCTTAAGTTTACCGCCAAGAAAGTGCCCATTTTTGGTGAATTTTATTAAGACAACAACTGCAGTATTAAATACATTTTATTAAGACAACAACTGCAGTATTAAATACTGTTAGTTAGAATAATAAGTATCGTATCAGAATACTTATTATACGTTCTTTACTTTTATAACTTTAACTTAATATTAAAAATGGTCAATAGATACCTTAGGTTAATTAGGTAGTAGTGACACTTATTGTATTGGTTAATATCAATAAAATTAAAAAAAAAAAAAAAAAAAAAAAAAAAAAAAAAAAAAAAAAAATTTGGTGAGGTTACTTATGGTACGATAGGGAGGCCCACAAAAAATGAATTTTGGAAATTTATTGCCGTAAACCCCTAAATCGGTTACAGCATGTTCAAAAACACGGAAAATGAAATTTGGGGTCAATCGGACAAAATTAACCTGACGCGGTAACCTTAACCCTAATTGCAAAATGAAGTCCACTTGATAATCTCTAGACTTTCGGACATTCCTTCCAGTGACGCCGTTTCATCAAAATCTTTGAGTCAAAAAGACAAGCCATATTCACTCGGGGCAGACTTCTGGAGTTTACACTGAAATAAAAATGATGTGATTTTAGCGGAAATATTCTGAAATACCGCCAAGAAAGTGCCTCTCATTCTGGAGCCCCCTATGTGGTTTTATCAGATTAGCCAGAAACGAGCTTTCGGCTCGAGTTGAAACTATCACTGGCGGATTGTTTTATCATAAGTAATCGTACCATAGGGTGGCCCACAAAAAATGAATTTCGGAAATTTATAGCCGTAACCCTCTAAATCGGTTACAGCATGTTCAAAAACACGGAAAATGAAATTTGGGGTCAATCGGACAAAATTAACCTGGCGCGCAGTTGTCATTTATCCCCGCAAAAATAGCGAATTTTTACTGTTTTTCAGTAATTTTTCGCTCCCGAAAAATAAAGTCGGAGGCGTCTGCAAATTAAACAGAGGGCAAAATTAGTTCATAAACTACACCCTAGTGAAGTTTTGGACTCCATCCATGCTTTTGACCCGACGCGCGGTTGTCATTTTCACGCATGAAAATAGCGAATTTTTGACTGTTTTTGATGATTTTTCCCTCTCGATAAATTAACGTCACAGATGCCTAAATTTTAATCAGAGTGTGAAATTAGTAACTAAGATGCTCCCAATGCTCCCCTTTTGATAATTTTGACACACTGCGACGTTGCCATTTTTCTGAGCAAAATCGTGAATGTCGACTTATTTCAATATCATCTCTCTAGATCTAAAAAAAAAAAAAAAACTCAGGAGCCATCGAAAAAGTGCGCTAAAACACGGTGATTATACCATGAGTATCTTTTTTTGAAAATGTGGACCCTGTAAAATGTTTTACTCGGCGTGAAGTTACTACTTGGCAAACAGTGGTTGACGGTAATGGTCAATTTTCATACGTTAATGCGCCTTCAATTACATTGGATACCGTGCAATACTTTCGTGGTGGAATATTTGCATTGGCACCTACAAACCTAACAGGGATACTTCACTCATTGCGCACTGCATGCAGTATCCCTGTTAGGTTTGTAGGTGCCAATGCAACTATTCCACCACGAAAGTATTGCACGGTATCAAATGTAATTGAATGTACACTATCGTATGAAACTTGACTGTTACCGTGATGGTGTCAGGGGGTATTTTCTAACGAGGAACTTGAATCTCAACTCAAATTTTTAAAATTCAAAAATCCAAAATGGCAGAAATTGCCAAAAATGTTATCCAGAGACTTTCGAAATCTAAGACGGTTGACTGCCTGCCCCGGAACTGCAAAAGGGCAACTTGTGTGTCCGGCTCTATTAAGTGCTGATGATCCACCTGAATATACTAAAATTTACCCTACATCTCAAAAAATTCGGCCACGTCACTTTATCCAAAATTCGCGTTGTATTTCATGATCGACCACCGAAAATTTCAAACTCGCCCAATATTCACCTGAAGACATGCATGTATTCGAGTAATTGCTGAAATGTCACAGAATTTCAGAAGGGCAACACGTCGGGTTCTCTCAAGTGCTGAAGATCCACCTGAGACTCTGAGATTTTTCTTCAATCACGGAGAATTTGGCAATGCCACTTTGTCCAAATTCGCGTTGTATTTCATGATCGACCATCGAAAGTTTCAAACTCTCCCAAGATTCACCTAAAGAC